CTTTTACTATAAAATAACCAGGACTTGTTATAAGGAACCTAAAGATGTTTATAGTAAATATTATAAACTAACATCTTCTGGTAAAAAAGAAAGAATGTATTTTAATTATTTTTCTTATGAAGAATTTTTTAATCAAGTTAACAAGGAAATTTATAGAATTAAGAAGTAAAATAATTATAAAGAATTTATGTAGTTTTTAATTAAATAAGTGTTTAAATCTTTAAACTTTTCTTTATCTTTATTATCTAAATAATCCTCAAATAACAGTTTAAATTCCTTTACTTTCTCATTATCATCTTTCAGATTTTTAAAACCTTCTTCACCTTTAAATTTTTTTGAATACGATTGTAGAAGTTCAAAGTGACATTGCGGTATTAAAATAGTTTTTAATTTTCTATTTGAAAATATTCCAATCATAGTAATAATTTCATTAATTATTTGAAAGTCTTCATGATTAAAATTAGGCAGTGGTAGTGAATGTTCTTTTTCATAAAGTTCAAACATATGGAAAACACCTTATCAAAAAGATTTGAAAACTCATCTAAACTAATCTCCTTTAAATCAGTTTCAGAAGTGAAATGATTAGAAGAAATTGAAAAACATTGAGGAAAACTTTCTTCTAAGTCAGTTCTTTCATCTTCTGATAATTCACTAATATCAGATAGATTAAATTGATTATTTCTTACTAATGAATTTTCTAATTTTTCATCTAAGGGAGATGAAGGTTGATGAAAAGTTGTGTGTTCACTTCCTAATTTCTTATAATGAGTTTCTTCAGTTTCTATACCAACATACGTTAATTGATTTTCCAGTTCACCTTCTTGATTTTTTTCTTTACACTCTTCATTTTGTAATCTATCATCTTGAATTTCTAATTTACCTTCTTGATTTTCTTCATTTTGTAATTTACCATCTTTATCATCTTGGGTTTCTAGTTCATCCTCTTTATTTTGTAACTCAAATTCTGAATTAGAAGGATTACCATTTTTTGATATTACTTCAAATTCACTTTTTCAGATTTAATTGAATATGAATCTGATTCAGAACTTGTTTTAAAATAAGAATTTTCATTATTACTGCTTTCATCTGAATCATTATTAATCATAAAGTTACTTCTTTCTAAATTAATATCCTCTTCTTTATTTATTTCCTCTTGATTCTTTCCTGAATAAAAATTACTACTAAGTTTTGGATCACTAAAACTTAATGCTAATACAACTAGAATTATTACTATTACAGACAGTATTATAACTAAAAACGTTATTGCTTTAATATTATCATATCTATCTTTAGATTCATCAAGCTCACAGTCAATTTTCAGTTCCATTATTAGGGTTTGAAAAATTTTAATTTTTTAAAAACAAAATATATTTTTAAGATTATAAAAGATTAATTCTAAGACAGTGTTATTTAGATGTAAACATGTTTTAATTTTAATTTCTAATCTTAAATAATAAATTTGGCAAATTAATATTTTTTATATAAGAATTCAATGTTATTAAATAAACATTCTATTTATAATTATTTATTAACACTCTCAATATAATATATTTATTGATATTTATATTTATTAAGTTTTATGCAAAATAAAATTTATAAAATAAAATTAATTTGTTTCTTTTAACAAACAAATTTTAATAAGTCACTGTGATATTAAATAATATAATTTATTTTGATTATAAATTTTATTCTGTTTCAATTTTATAAAGCTTATTATCTACTACGCCTATTACTCCATTTTTATAACTAATAACATTTTTGACAAGTTGATTAGTATTTTGTAAGACTTTCTTACTTTGATCATCAGATTCTAATTTTATAAAACCACTTTCCTGATTAGAAAGATTATAATAAAACAATTTTCCATTCATCATACCAGC